ACTGAGCCCACCAAGATGCTCTGTGCCCATACAGGGATCCAGGATGCTGCTGGGGACTAACAAATTTTTCATTTCTCTTGTGCAGACCAGACAGGTCCCCCGGATTGCCCAGCATTCTTGACCCAGTTTGGACCCCAAGCAAAGGCAAAAAGGGGGTCTCGGGGCAAGGATCAGGTCCCCAGGGAGCCATCCCTAGGGTTTGATACCTGTGCAGCCACAGGTGCTGTACAGACACAGGCAGGATGCTCCCAGGGAGGAGGTGCTGGTGTGAAATGAGGAAACATGTGTTGTCAGCAGGGATGAGGGCTGCAAAGCTGCTGCATGAAGCCTCCCTGTGGATTCTGCTGCTGAACTATTTATTTAAGAAAAAAAATATTATCATTTCCGACGCTGGCAGCATGGGTTGTATCAGTCAGTGTATCAAAGATGTGGTTTTAATGCACTTTCCTCCACTTAAATGTTATTTACCTTCTCCTTCAGGCAATTGAATTTAAGAAAACTCTGGTTGCACAGGTTTTGTTGAGCAAATGTGCCCCTCTGCATACAGTTCCCAGGAGGAGCCAGCTCTGCAGAAACTCTGGGAGCTGTCACTTCAGTGCATCACTGGGATGGGCTGAATGGATTACCCGGCTCTGCATCGTCTGCTGTTTTAGCTGCCTCAAAGCAGTGGGAAGCCAGGAATAAACCCCCGAGGTTCCTTTGAGCGCTGCAATTTCTGGAGCCTGGGGTCAGACAACTGTTATTGTAGCTAAAGGTGTTTAACCCCAATTGATTTTGACAAGCCCTATTAGCAGATCCCCCAATTACTTATTGGGTTTTGAGAGGAAAGTTGTCAGTTTGAGGCTCGGTGGACTAACCTGAGTGCTGCTGATGGAATGAAATGGGTCCCAAACCTGTCTCTGCAGCAAATGGGAAAATCCTCATCTGTCTTCAACACCAGGATGTCAGAGTCTGACCTGGGTGATAATGGGCTGGAATTGGCTGTTCCTATGGTGGTGTGTTAGGATATGAGGCACAGGATGGGTCATTCCCTGCAAAGTGTGGAGCATCCTTGGGATATCCCTTGCTTGGGGTTGGAGCCCAGGTGACCTGTTTGCAGAGTGCCTGGCTGCCTTGGGAAACAGCCCAGGAGATTTGATGGAAAGTGGCAGAGAGTGCCTGGAAAATTGCCCAGGGCAGGCTTAGAGTCATATCTGCTCCCCATCAAAACTGCTCTGTCCTTCATCTGGATACCAGCTTGTGGAGAAGGGAAGTGAGGATTTCTGGCACCAGCGGCAGATCGCAGGAGAACAGAGGTTGTTCCACACCTTTGCATGCACAAATCCCGAGTTCACCACCAACGGGACTGGATTTAGAGCCCTAACGCCCCAAGGGATGGAGCCCTAACTGCATAGACCAGATAGCCGCCTGGAGACTTGTCTGCAAGGAGTATTGGACAGTAACGACTTTGGGGCTCACATCCCAAAGGTGGCTGTGAATAACTGGAAAGGAATGGGAGTTATGTACCTAAATAGCCTTAAAAGGTCTGGATATTAACTACACTGATGGTTTTTTTTTTAATGCCCAAACTTAAGGAATGAAAGCACCATCTAGCTGAGGAAATGATTTTATCAGAGAAATAAGATTTTAATGAAGTGCTGCTTTACTGTGCAGGGTGAAGTAGGGGTTTGGCAGGTAGCAACAGTTTGTGACCCGTTCTGGAGGAGAGAAATACGGCCGTTGTATGTTGTAAATACAGCAGTGCCCCAAAGCTGCTGTTGGGCAGCAAAACTAACAGTACCTTGGAAGACCGGCAACTTTTGCACTTTTGTTGTTCAGTGATTGGAGTCGCTTGCAGAAAAGCAAACAAACAGCGTGATTCCTTTAATTCAGAGCTCTTGGGGGCTCTCGGTTGTTCTACATCCAACTGGTGTTTTACATGGCTGTGAGACTTCAAGTCCTCTAGGATGTTTTGTAACAAGCACTTTACAACATGCAAATATATGAAATGCAACAGTCACAAACTATATGCCGAGCCAAAGAAAAACACTATTTTTTTTTGCTAGCATTGGAAAACTAATGCACCTAAAAATACTGCAGACACAGGAGTGACTACACTATTTATAACTAATTCACTTATTCACTTATATAATGTTAGAGGACAGGTTTAGGAGCTTTCTATTTAGGGGAGGGGAAATCCTAGTTAATGAGCAGTTTATTGTTTCTTAATTTTGACAGCAATTCATAACCCAATTCATTTTGGGTAATCTGCATTGAATGCACTCATTGCTGATGTAGTGTCTCTAAAAAATTTTTGTTTTCAAAATAAAAAGTAAAAGTTTCCAAGTAAACTGGGGCACTTAAATGGCAAATATTTCTTTCAAATTGTTTTTTAAGACAAATTTCCTAGTTCCAAGGGTCTTTTGTTTTTATTATTGCAATATTTTTGACTTAGCCTCCAAGAGAAACTCGGATGTTGGAGAAGGACACTAACTGCTGGAAAACTCATCAGGGATGACTTTGGCCATTGATTTCCTGAGTGACTTTGGTCAAGTCATGTAATGTCTAAAGGTAAGAGGGCCTTTGTTCTAATTTTTGTTGATTGTTATTCATTTGGAAACCTGTCTTTGTGACCTATGAGCTGCCAGGACTGGCCCATTTCTTTTCAATTCTGGTTTTGCTGACCTTCCTGGGGGTTCAAGAGTAGACAGGGTGTCCTATGAGAGGGTCACCGCTGTCCTTCCTCCCTCCCTCTATTAATGCCCAAGTGAAATGAGGGCATAGAGAAAGAAAGGAAAAGCTGTAGCTGGTTCATTGGGGAGCTCAGGTCATGGCATCTGGAGATTCCAAAGCCCTCAAGTGTTCTCCCTTCCTAGACTCAGAAGTTGCTCTTCTGTTCCCAACTCTTGGCTGAGAAGCAATGCGAGTATTTGCTATCATATCACTGACTTCCCTGTAGCTCAGTGCTGGTCTGAATGGGGCCCTTAGTCACCTGCAATGCTGCATCTTAAGCCTATCTCTTCCCTCCCTGTCTTTGTGATATTTAGCGTAGCAATGATAGTGATGATACCGATATCAAAAATTCCCAGTTTTGAGTTGGGAGGGCCGTGGGCTAGAAACAAATTACTTTCCCACTAGGGAAAGATCATCTGTGAAATTTCATGGATAGCTTTCCTGCTCACTAAATGCCCCCTTCCCCTGGCTTTTTTTTAGTGTGTGTGTGTGTGTAATTGCGTGTCAGACCAAGTGCACTCAGAATGCAAGCAGGGTTTGATACAAGGAGAGTGAAATGAGATAATCCATGTTTTCATCATTCATAGGCCTCTCTTTTCACAGGCCGTGGGCCGTACTTTATTAGGCTGAGCAGCTCTGGGCCTGCAAGAAAGACGAGGCCTTTCTCATCCGTATGAGAATAGTGCAGTGAATGGATTCCAAGTGTTTACTCAGCATTTGTCTAGTGGTTTATCAAAGGAATGAGGAGGAGGTGCCGACAGATCTTTTGTCCCACTGATGTGTTATGACAATGTTCCATGAATATGCAGAATGGCAGAAGGGATTAGAGCCAGTACAATTCCCCTCGGGCATTTTTTTTTTTTTTTTTTTTGCCTGGGATGTTCAGAGGTTTAAGGGTGACCTGTTCACAGTCAGGGCACAAAACACCAGATTTTCCTGTAGATAGGGGTGTAAAAATCCCACACTTGTCCAAAGCTGTTAGCATCTGACTCGAAGGTTGAGCTGTCTTAGTCACTAGCTGCTCTCTATAATAAAGTTTCAGCTGGCAGGAACTGCCTGGCTCAAAGCTTTGTATTTCAGGAGACATAGGCAGATACAGGGGCATAATTGAAACCTGAGTCAATTGGTGCCACGTGAAGCCCAGGCCAGTGGTGAAGTGGCAGTTTCTTTCCAGTGTCCCATTCTGGGGCAGGTTGGCAGCTTGCAGGAGTGTTCCCTATGTATATAAGGAGACTTTGGTTCCTCCATGGGTGTGTATTAGAAGGATGTGAGATGTGCTCAGTATTGATCTGATTCTGCTCCCATCCAAGTGAACAAAGATGTGACAGCTGAGAGCTGTCAAAACCACATAAAATCTCCCTCTCACCACTCGGAAGAAAGCATTGCAAAGCCTCTTACAATCTTGTTGTATGTGGATAGATATAAACAGCTTGTTGAGGTCCCTTTTGGTACATATGTAAACACAAAAAGCCATAATCAGTTAATACATTTTGATGCAATTATCCTAAATTCATCTTCTACCCAATAGCCCCGTGAGAGCAGCTGGCAAAGGCTCTGGTGCCTGTGCTCGGTCTTTCCCGGGTGACACATGGCATGTGCTACACTTTCTCTTCAAGGAGGGTAGTAGTTGGTCTCAGCTTTGGTGTAGAAGTGACAGCCTCTCTCCAGAGACCAGCAGCCCTTTGCTGACCAGATGCTGATGTACCTCCTCTGTGGAGTCTGGTCAACAACAAATTGTGCTCCTGGCAGCTGATAATCAAAGACCTGTAGACCTTGGGTGTGTAGCTCAGATCAGTCAAATTCTTCAGAGTGGCTTAAAAAGAAACAGGGTGTTTTTTCCCTTTCTGCCTGCTTTTACCATCACCAGTAACAGTGAATCTTTCTTTGCTCTGTGGTGTGTGTGTGTAGTAGTAGGTTAGAGTTTTCATCTTTTGTTTTTCAATCAGGACACCTCAGCCATGCTGTAAGTTAAATCTGAATAAACCCTTCCCTCTGAGATCACTGTGGTGAAAGTATGGAGGTTGGCAGCTCTGGGAAGTAAACCATCCTCTCTCCCACAGGACACTTGCAGCAAGGACATCTGGTGGTAGCAGCAGTCTTCCATCTTTTGCTCATTTTGGGGTGCCAGAATTTTACTGACTGTTGGAAACTTTGGATTTCTGGCATCCTTTTCCTTAGCAGGGGGAGTAAGCAGCAGGAGAACAGTGGCTACCAGTCCCTGTTTTTTGTAGGTCTACCATGCAAAACCAACAAAACCTGTTTGCAGCATGTTAGTTCTGCTGCTGAAAATGTTAGAGTGCTGCTGGCTGCTTGCCATGATTTTCCCTTAACTTTCAGCCCTGTTAAATCTCATATCCTCAGTGTCAATGTACTGTTGATCTTGAACTCAAGAAGTTTCTTCTGGTTTCCACTCTGCCTTGAAGTTGTTTGTGCCTCTTAGGACCACTTTTTGTTGCTATTGTTTTTTTGGGGTTTTTTTAACTCTTGCAGGATGCAAGTGCCTAACTCCAAATGTTTGGCTAGGTATTGGCTACCTAAATTATTCTTACAAACCTGGCCCAGACTCTTTACACTGAAATAATGTTGGTAAGAGCCTACCTCCTTGTTTGCACTCCCAGACAAACTCCTCAGTTCCTACGTATCTCCCTGTGCCTCAGTTCCTTCCTCTCTATGGTGGAGGACAAGTTCATGCTCTTTTAGTTGCTGAAGGTCTTAGGCCTTTCAAGATATCCTATGCCTACTGAGAAAGACACAAGCCAGTAAAATCTGTGCAATGTTTGTGTTCTTCATGCTTGGTAGAAAGAAAAATAGATGATATTTGATCATCTGGGTGAATCTTGAAGCCTATGAGTTGCTTGGAAAGGAAAAGGGATCAACAGTTACTGTTTTGTCTCCTGTCTTCTCTTTAACTTGCAGAAATCTCTAACAAACCTCCTCCTGTTACCTCCTGGATACCAACAATTGCTGCTTTCTAGCTAGTGCTTTCATGCTATTTCTAAGAGTTTCTTTCTCTAAACCTTAGTACCTGGGGACAAATCCATAATTTCCTTCTCTCTCCTAGGCTGGCATTAGGACACATCTCAAAGCTTTCCTGGATGCATTTAATTTATCTGTTCTGCAAGGACAAATATCTGCTTGGTCATGCTGGGGAGAGAAACCCCTCACTCCTCACATCTTGAATTTCTGGTCTCAGCTGACCTGCTGTCTGCTAAGCTCTCTCCTCTCAAACAGGCAATACTGTCCATGCTGGCCAAGCTGCTCTGCAAAGAGTGCAAGATATCTACTTGAGGCGTAGGCACCGAACAGATGAATGAGTGTTGGCTTTCATGTACCTGGGGGAAAAGAAGGTGAATTGAGTACCAACGACTTGCCTGCAATGAAGGGTGGGGGAAGCTATGTGCTGTTTTACCACGGATCTTTCATTCGTGAAACACCACAACTCTACCACCATATTCCTATTACACAGCTAAATAATGAGGGTTCAGAGGAAAAGGAAAACTAGGCCCATGAAATACAGTGAGTGACTCAAGCAACATCATGTGCAGTAGGAAAAGCTTCCAAAGATGCTAATTAAATGCATCTGTAAATAACATTATTATGTCTCTTGTTTCTATCATAAGATGTTTGAATTCTGGTCCTGCTTGTGCCACTGGTTTGCTGCTTTACTCCAGATGGGTTGGTCCTTTATGTTCCACTTGCTACTTCCATTTGAAAAAGGGGGACCTTTCTCCAAGAACTTATTGTATTGGGGGTTCTAAATGAAGGATGTTTAAGGTGGATGTCATGTGATCTCTGATCTGTGTTTATGGGCCCTCCTTGAAGCTGAGATCTGGCCTTGGCTGCACTCTTTCAGGGCAAACTTGTAAGTCAATGTCCTTTTCTGTACTGATGCTGTTGAGGAATCTGGATTGGAGCCAGTTTTCAAGTCCTCAACCATTCACCTCCCACATTGTACACAAGATTTCATTTCCATTTGGAGTTGGCCTTACCTCTGGACTTCAATTCATAGATGGATTCTGAGATTGCTTCAGCTTGCTTCTTTAGTAAAAGTCCATGGTCCTCCAAAAATCCTTTGTCATGAGTCCATTGTCCAGGCTATAATGTGCCTAAAGCTGGCAACATGACCAGACTACGAGGACCAAGAGTGCTGTCTGAGTCCACACTTCCTTGAATATACCTTGGTACTGGCTTAGGTGCTACCCTTGTGTGAGCCATAAGATATGCGTGGGTTTCTGCTGTGAGATCGAATCAACAGTGTGAGGTTTAAAGGCTGAGCTGGGGTTTCTTAGCATGGAACCTGGTTTACAGGACAGTTGTGAGACCTGCAGGCTCACAGAGAGAAAGCCAAGAAAGAGGCATGAGAGGTGTGTGAAGCCCAAGCAGATGCCAAGATGTTCCACAGCCCTCTCATTTTGGGAGAGTTTGGAGGGTGCAAGAGAATGCAAATTCCTTGGAACCAGTCTCCTTAGTTAACAGGACTGGTCCAAAAATCCTGCTGCCTGGCTTTGACTGTTTCTCATCAAAAGAGAAGCAATTCAGCAAGATCCTGATCTTGACTAGCTATGATCCATCCCTACTCATGTTCAAGAGTGCCCTGTTCACTGGGGTACTGCTAGGCTAGGAAGAGAAGTGATGCTGTGTAGTCCTCCAGAGTGACTCCTCCTGAGCAAGCAGAGATGGATGAGCAGCAAATGTATTTCCTGGGCACACAGAGCTCTGACAGAACGAGATGAGGAGCTGAAGGCTGCTGCTGGCTGCTTACTTGCACTAACCCTGCTGTGATATGGAGGTGCCACCTCAGATTAAGCACCCCAATATGCACAGCACTTCCTCAATGGCATGTGGAGAAGAGTTTACTATATGTATGTGAACCTCAGAAGCAAGGAACCATCTGGGTTGGTTCGCTCAGTCTCAAGTAGCACCAGGCAGAGATGATTTTGGCTAGGAGGCATGTGAAACAACACTGTGATTCACAGTTGTCTGGTCTGCTTAGGGTCTGAATCATTTCTCTTGCTTTATCACGAGGAAAGGATGTGATAAACTCACTGGTCTGCTGTGGCTGGAGACCCTTTTCCTACAACATGTGCTCTTGAAAGACATTGCAAGAAATTTCGGTTACCAGTCATCTATGAAGTGAGGCAGAGATGGTCTCCACAACTTGCCTGAGCATAGACAGGTGGAGATGTGTCCCCTTTCTGGGTAGGAAGCAAGGAAGAGCCTGGGCCTTCCTCCCACCTCTGGAGAGCATAAAGGAGCTGTCTTATCCCTAAACTTTGTGCTCAGCCTGCACAGACAGGAGAGGCTTGACAGAGGTGCCTGGCGAGCTGAAGAGATTAAAGATCTTTTGTTTCAAAAGCATTTAAGCAGTGCAGGTTAAGAAAAAAAAAAAAAAAAAAAGGCGGCCTGTCTGCAGGAAGATTGGAGTGAAGGTACGAGACAGAGGGACACAGAGGGAAATTTTCCCTGACAAGGGGAGTGCTCCTTGCCTAAGGGGAGGGAAAAGGCCATTATGTTCAGAGTGAATGAAATTGCTCCTGGCAGGAGCATTAAACAGAGGTGGGGGCGGGGGGAGACAGAGAACAGGTAGTCAGCCAGCAAGGTGGGATTTTAACCATCTGCTTGGACTTGCAGCTAATCAATCAGGCAGCTATAGGAGAGTGATAAATAAGCAAGGAAGAGGGAGAAGACTGTAGTGAAAAGTTTATCCTGGAGTCCAGGACGTTTAGGTGCTAGTCCCCTGATTTCATTGGAAAGTGCAAGGTGGATTTGGGGGCTTGATGGAGCTGTCATGTAGACATGGTCTGTAAAACAAAACTTTTCTCATATATGGCAGCTAGCTGGAGCACTGGAGGAAAGGCACGAGTGGGGCAGAGGAAGGGTTTTTGGAAGTGGGGGGTTAATGTGTGGGGTCAGGGAGAAGAACATAAATTGGGAATTACAGGAAACTGGTTGGAGAATGGCAATTTTCCCTTAGGGGGAATCTAATTCTTGCTACTGGCTCACCCCACAATGAACCCTGGAGCCAGGGACCTGACTGCTTCTTTATGTGTTGAAAGCAACAAAATTCCATGGGGAGGCTCTAGGAATGACCCTCAGAGCATGACCTGCTGGGCACTGCACTCTGATCACCTGCCTCAGATCCTCTGAAGAAACTCAAATACGGTCAATGGTCATCAACACTGTGTTGCAGAGAGACTGTTTATATAAGGAGCAGAACTGGAGGTGATAGGAAAACAAGGGGACCAAGGTGCTTTTGGAGGAAGTTTTCTTACAGAGTAGGTCCTTGCTGTCTTGGTGTGATGGTTTCTTTCACTGTGTCCATGTGCTGCGTAGCCTGAATCCTCTCGGTGATGGGGAGGATGGACTGCTCTGAGGTCAGGGGCTTAGACTGTGGTTACTGGGCTGTTAAGTTTGTGCCCTGCTCTGAGTAGCTCCTTGGTAGGTCAGGTTTGCCAGGAGATGTTCTTTGGAATCTGGCTTGTGATTGGGGTATAATGATCATAAAGGTCCCTTTGAGTTTTTAGAATACTTTCATTGCTTTATGTAAATAAATATTTAAATGTTCCTTGCACAGTCCCGCACATGACTGAGATTTGCTCTTTGCAACTTGTTGAAGCTACTGGGCAGGACTGCTGAGCCACCAGGGAAAGGCACTGGCTCAGCCTGTCCTTTGGGTTTGGTCTTTTTGAAATCTTGGGTTTGGGCTATGAGGGATAGAGCTAGGACGTAAAGAGGGTTGGTGGTTTTTTTTTCCCTGGGGAAAGGAGAAAAAAAATTATTCTGCAAATTTTCAGGCTTCTCTTGATTTAGGAAGCTCCAAACAAAATTCACAGAAGTAAAGTCTCCAAAATTCCAGAGTTTTGCTTCTGAATCATGGTTCTCAATTGCTTAAGTCTCTTATACATTTTTCTCTTGAGAATATTACTTGGTGTAAACAGATAACAATAGTTTTAGTAATAATAACAAAGTTTGTTCTTCCCATCCCCTTTATCTCCTGGTGACTAAAACAAAACTTCACTATTTTTAAATCGAAGTTAAATTTGGTTGGAAAATCTTGACCAGTTGTAATGAAAAGGAAATCCTCACCAAGGTGATGGTGTTCAAGTTTCTTCCCTTGTGAATCTTTCCCTGCTGTTCCTTAGTCTGGTGAATGCTGCTTAACTAGTCTTTTTAGAGAGAGAGAGGAAAAAGAAAGAAAATAAGCCCAGATAAAAATCAAATGCATCATCTGAAGCAGCATCTCCCTGAGGCTGCGCGACCCCTGCTCTTCTGTGCAGGCTATTAGGATGAACTAATGCACAAGACAGCAGACACTGGCAAAAATTATGCATATTTAGCAAATATGATTTATTCCCTCTTCACTGCTTCTTTAAAGAGAGATACAGATTGCATTATTTTGCTAGCCGTCTTTATTATCATCTTCCAGACTTCTTGTAGAAGATCCCAGGCAGGAGGAGCACCTTGAGTGATAGAACATCTGTGGGAATTGGCATCTGTCTTGTTTGGCTTTCATTGTTCAACAGTAAAACTCAGTTTGCTTCCTGCCTGTGTCCTCCTGCCTGCCTCCATCCTGCTGTTTTCTCCCTCTGTCAAAACTAGTCTGACATCTGGGTCTTAATCCTGCAAAGCTGAGTGCCATTTGCATGGTCCCATCCACTTTAACTACTCGCCAGCTGGAATCTCAGCCTGCCTTAGAGCCAGAACTTCTCCCTCTGTCCATATAAAGTTACATGAGATCAGGGCTTAGGACTCTAAACCCTTCATGCAGCTTTGTATCCCGCTGTCCACGTGAGACCTCTCTTCCTTAGGTAGATGTGATTTGAGATGCAGGTAGCTCTAGGCAGAGCGATACTGCTGAGTTTGCTTTTCAATTTCTTTTCTGATATCTATGTCAAGATAAAAGGAGAAAGTGATTGATAAGTGCATTTCTTTTTTATATGTGTGTTTCTGGGGTTGAATGAGAAAAGAAGTTCTTCCTTCCCATCCAGGAACCCCTCTACCTCATGAGCTGATTCTTGCTAGATCATAAAAGACACAAATTTCTGGCTCTGAGTGCAAATTGCGCCAGCTAGTGCCTGCAGAGCAGGTTTCTACCTCCTCTACCCAGTAGCTTCCCTTTCTGCTTCACTGAGTGTTTTTAATGCTGATTCCCTTCACCTTTGTGGGGGTCTGTCCTGCCACTGTCTCCAGCATCTGGAAAAGTCCTCTAGCTGGAGGAAAATAGCCAACATTCGGACACCAACTTGATTTAAATGTACACTCTAGGGAGATAAATGAATCTTCACTTTTTTCCCCTCAGTTCTCCCAAGGTCCTGCCATGCTCTTGGTTTGCTTTCCTCCTTGAAGAGCTGTGCTTTCTGTTTTATATAAGCCAAAATAATGATAATAGAGAAGTGCACCTTCTACTAAAAATCTGTTAGTGTTTGTGATGAGCTCCTGACTGCATTTCACCCTTTATCACTTTCCTACCTGTGCTCCAGCCAACATCTAAGGTCCCAGTGCCCCTCTGTTGGTTCTCCTCACTTGACAAAAGAGAAACTGATGTGGGTTTTATACAAACATTTCCAGCTGCTCTGAGGGAGGCCAAGACTGGACCCTCTTTACACTCCCACTTCTCTGCCTATGCCCTAAAGAGACCAGACAATGAGCCACAAGTGCCCACAGGAAAAATAGGAACAAAAACACGTGCATGGATGCAAATGAGGGAGCAAGTGATGGTGTGGAGTAATATAATCTCAATTATTATTTGAACTATAAAATAAAAAGGATGGGAAAGGCTTAAATGAAAGGGATGGAGTGTCTTTTTCAGAAGACTTTTGGGGTCAAGAAGGAAAAGAGGAGGATGAGACAATCTGGACAAGATATTTAATTGTGACTGCAGAGAAGGGCTCTCATCCTGCTCTGCTATTGGAAATAGTTTCAACCAAGTGATGGGTTTGATAGCTGTGATTTTTATTCATCAGACACCACATCCATGATGTGACATTCACACCTATCTCATCAGGAGCATGACATGGGCATGTACCTACATATGAAAGGTGCCCTGTGTAATTAAAAGCACTCCCAGCTTGTCTAGGCCATCCGAACACCCTGGCTTTCCTAGCTCCTGGGGCTGTGCTCTGCACGGGCATCACGCTTCGCTTTCAGGGAGTGCTCAGCTGCAATGGGAGAGGATGAAGTGAAAGCCCTTGGCTTCCAACAGCAAATGGGACACAACAAAATCAAAGGGAAACCTTTGCTGAAACCTACTAGGGCTTTCCCAGTGCAGTGTATTCCTCCTGCCTCTGCCCTGGGGTTAGTCCCTCTGCAGTGGAACTGTCCTCTTTCCCCTGACATCCCCCAAAAGCTATCATATTCCCGCACCCTCGGGCACCCGCTGGGGAGGTACCTGTGGGCAGCCCCCATGAGGTTTCCTTCTGCAAGGGGTCCCGCCTGGCTGCAAACTAACTAATCCTTTGGGTTGCTTTGGCTGGAGAAACTCCTGGCTCTTCCCAGCTGCTCCATCCTTCCCCGATGGGGCTGCGCCTGAGCGGTTTTCCCAGGGAGAAAGAAAAAAAGAAAAGAGGAAAGAAAAGATAATAACGAAATCAAAGCTCTGCCGGGGCCCCGGGAGGAGCCTACCTGGTTTTCTGTTCGAGGGTGGGTGGGAGGTGAAGCTCACCCTGGTTTGCCCCCTGGAATTTTCTTTTTAAATATTTTTTTCTCCTCGGAGCAAATCCCCGCCCGCACCTGGGAGCGGAGCCGGCCGCCGCGCTCGCACCCCGGGACCTCCCCCGCAGGGGAAGGGCCCCCTCTGGGGGGGTGGCTGCAAAATTAAGCCCAAAGAGCGCACGGGGGGCTCCCCTGGGGAGCAGGGACGCCCGCCCCGAGGGCCCCAAGCCCCGGAGCGGCCCCTGGGAGCGCCCGGCCGGCGGGGAGGGAGTGGGGCCGGTGGGCCGGGCCTCCGCACGCCCCCCAGGGCGCCCGGGCGCCCTATATATTGCCGAGCAGCTACGGGTCGAGCTTCCCGTCGCCGGGAGCTGCCGTGGCTTCTACCCCCCTTTTTCCCCCCCCATCCCTCTCCCCACCCCCACTTTCCCCTCCCCTCGGGGGGGATCTTTTTCCCGCTGGCACCCTCTCCCCCCACCTCCGAGGAGGAGGAAGGCGCGGGCCGTCTATGAACGCGCCCGGCTTCCCCTTCGCGCGCGGCATGTGCGCGCTGCCCGCCCCGGCCAGCCCCGGCTCCCCCGGCCCGGCGCGGGGCTCGCCCCCGGCCGCGGAGCCGCTGCCCGTGAAGCCGGAGCCGCGCGGGGCCGCCGGGACCCCCCCGCCGCCGCCGCCCGCCGAGGAGCCGCTGCCCGCGGGCGGCGGTCGCCGGAGGAAGCGGCCGGTGCAGCGGGGCAAGCCGCCCTACTCCTACATCGCCCTCATCGCCATGGCCATCGCCAACGCGGCCGAGAGGAAGCTCACGCTGGGCGGCATCTACAAGTTCATCACGGAGCGCTTCCCCTTCTACCGCGAGAACCCCAAGAAGTGGCAGAACAGCATCCGCCACAACCTCACGCTCAACGACTGCTTCGTGAAGATCCCCCGCGAGCCGGGCCACCCGGGCAAGGGCAACTACTGGACGCTGGACCCGGCCGCCGAGGACATGTTCGACAACGGGAGCTTCCTGCGCCGCCGCAAGCGCTTCAAGCGCACCGACATCACCACGTACCCCGGCTACATGCAGAACTCCAGCGCCTTCACGCCGCCGCCCGCGGGCCGCCCCGTGGCACCCGCTGGCCCCTACCCCAACACCCTCTGCTCGCCCGGCTACAGCACCCAGCTCTCGGGTGCCGTCTTCCACCCGTACGCACCCGGCGCGCCACCCACGGTGCCCGCGCAGCACCCGCGCATGTTCAGCATCGACAGCCTCATCAGCGGGCAGCTGCAGCCCTCTCCGCCCGCCGAGCTGGGCCCCCCGGCGCTGCCTCTGCCCGGGCCTGAGCTGGCGCCCGCCTGCTCCGTGGGCGCCGCAGAGGCTCCGTGTTTCCAAGCGCAGCCCGTGAGCCCCGGCCTGCTGGGCAGGGCGGGCGCCAACGCCTTGGCCTACCCTTACGCCGCCTCGCCGCCGCAGCTGCCCGTGGCGCAGGGCAGCTACTCGCCGGGCAGCCCGCAGCTCTACGGGGCTCCCAGCAGACTGGCGCTGCCGGCCATGCGGCCTGCGGCCTGCGCCGAGCACGGCGAGCAGCTCCTGGGCCTCGCCGCCTCCCCGCTCGGCCAGTTCGGCTCCGGCAACGCCTATGGGCGCCAGCCCAGCTTCCCCGCCGGCCTCGAGCGCTACATGTGACGGGGGCGGCTCTCGTGGACCTCCGACACTGAGGGGACGTTTGAGGACGCAGCTGATGGGCAAAAAGCCACCCTGGGCCACGGGCAGGGGGGACCTGTGTGACCTCTGCTCCTTCCCAGACACTTTTGGACTGGAGATAACGTGATTTCCTCTTGCGCTGGCTCCTCGCCCCACCGGGGCCACGCTGGGATGGCTGGGAAAGCACCTGGGCTTTGGTTTCGGGAGGTAGGTGCGAGGCATCGCGCCCGGGAGCCCAGCAGCAGGAGAGCCCCCGTGAAAGGGGCTTCTCCTCACTTCTCCTGGTGCTTTAACCCTAGTTGGAAGGAGATTTACCAAAAGATTTACCAATCTAGTAAACAAAACAAACAAACAAAACCAACAAAAAAGAAATACAAAGATAACACCCCCAAAGACTAAACCATTTCCTTGTCTTTAAATGAGTATTTAAGAGGCTGACCCTTTCCTTCCCCTGTAGGAAAAAAAAAAAACTTTTTTTCATTCCCTTTAAAAAGAACTTTCATTGTTAGAAAGGATTTTTTTTTAAAATACATGTTTGCTTTCAGTGTGCTCCATGTCGCCTTTCCTCTGGTCCCAGCCAGACTTTGGAGAGAGGAAAGGGATCGGTTATGTGCCTGGTGGAGAAAGGCTCATGCTGCTGCTCTAACACTGCCACCAAGCACCTTGCCTTCTCCAGTGACACTTGGGACACTTTTTAAAGCTGTCTATTTTACTATTTTTTTTTTCCTTTTTCTTATAAAAGCTGATAGTAATAATTACTGCAGCGGCTGCAATGAGCTCTCCATCAGTGAGGAGGTGCAAGATTCACCCTGCACAGCGCTGCTGCTGGAGCTTGGCTCTTGCCATCTGCAGAGTGAGGGACGTGTGTCTTCCTTCAGAGGGAGAAGCCCTTGCAGGTGCAATAGGTTGTCAGAGCTTTTCTTCCTAGGAAAAAAAAATTAAAAGTCCAACCTGCTCACTAGCCAACCAGGTAATCTTTATTATAGGTCTAGACAGCCAGACTGCCCAGCTACATCTGATGGCAGAATTCCCTATTGTTGCTTTAGTATTTTGTTTGTTTGGATATCCTTCAGGCAGAAGTGACCAGATAGGATTTCTCTCTACTTACTCAAGGGCTTTCTGTGCAGCAGACTGATTTCCCCCTAGTCATTGCTGCACCTTCTTAAGGAGAAGTTTGATATCAGGTGACTTTTGGTGCAAAATCTGATTTTCTGGCTGCTGTTGTTGCCTGAACGCTGTGCGTGCAGGGATGTGACAGTGGGTGCCAGGCAGGCGCCTTCACCCACGTCTTTGGAGCTCTCACTTGTGCCTTTTTGCTCCAGTGTGATGTAGAAACTAGGGATATGGGAGGGGAAACACACTTCACATGTCTCAGCCTCCCTAAGATGGGGACCTGCTGTCTGCATCCGATGTGCTCTCTGATTCTCAAATGGTGGAGCCTTATTTGTTCATTTGTTTTTCACCTGGAAAGAGAAAAATAAATGTATCTTCTATTTGTGCTCTTTATAGGAGATAGAGCCATATCCATGGAAATATATTTGTATATGCAACATGTAATGAATGTTTGTATAGTGCCTTTGTGTAAATAATGTACTGTCTGTATAGATGCACTGGGGAGGGGATGCTGGTACACATAAAATAATTATTCACATGGACAGTTCACGAAACTGGACTCCTGTCAGTCATTTACACTTATTTCTCGGGCCAGATCCTGTAATCCTGTCACATACAAAAGACCTTTGGGAGACTTGCTGGGGGCTGGTCTGGTTTGTAGCATGATTAGGGAGGGTTTGGGGTGGAAACCAAGTGGGGGTGTAAAAGCAAAATGTGGTTAGGTGAACGGGGTCTGCAGGCCGTGCTGTAGTTTTTTGTGGGTCTGTTTTGAGGAAATGTGGGGTCCAGGGCTGTTATTTAAAGAGAGGATCATCCGTAGCAAATGCCCTGGTGGGAAGCACAGGGAGGGGATTCCTGAGCCAAGGGAGGCACCGAGTGGAGCCCCTTCTCTTCCAGTCATCTGGAAGCAGGACAGGGTCTTGAGGAAGCAGGGAAGTATCTGAAAGGGTTTTTCCAGTTCTTGGCACCTCTGGGCTTAGGTCAAGTGCCGGTGGAGCCAGGGAGGCTCAGGTGTTGAGAGGGACCTAGACTCTGCATGGGGATCTCTCAGCCACCGGAGCCGGGTTGGAGGATGGAGCTAGTCCCAGCACCCAGCCTGGATGAGCCCCCGTGTTTCCTCTCCTGAACACGAGGGTATCCTCAGCCAAATGCCAGCTGGGAGGGTCAGGACAAATCCTGGATGGTGGAATACAGCTGCACATCTTCTAGGGACCCCTATCTCCCTGTCTGCCAGACAGTCCCAACCCAGAGCACTCCTGCAAGGAGCGCTAAGCCACCCACAGACCCATAGACACAGGCCTTTCACTGCCAAACAAGCTAGAAAGCACTTTTTTGTTGTTTCCTATAGATATTAATCCTCTCATGCACAAGACTCTGGCACTCGTATTGTGCTTGTCATTAAACTAATGCCTTAAGAGTGTCTTCCTGGTTAACTTAATGTATCCCAACTAGGCTTTTAAGCTTTCATTTCAAAGCTTTGTTTACAGTTAGGGTGAATCTAGCAAATGAGCAGGATTAAAGTGTCATGTAAAGCATGAGCCTTGCTGGGGCAGAGTAGCTTTAAGCTTTATAAAGTATATATGTGTGCCCTTCATCTGTTTTAGTGTCTTTTGAATGTCTCTGTTCACTGAATAAGAGGGATTTGACTGAAGCAGCAGTAATTATCATCCAGGTTTTGCTTGTGAAACCAAGTCTCCTTTGAAATCCTCCCTTTTTATTTAGCAATATCCAAGGAATTTGGAGAATATTAAGTAATGACGGCCATAACTAACATGATCTTGCTCACACAAAAGCCAGAGGCAAAATGTTCTTTGCTCCTGAGGCTGGAAGGAGCAAGAGCCCCTCAGAGAAACCTCAAAGGGGTCCGGGGGACAGTAGGTGGTGGGGAGAACCCCCCAAGCTGAACACATGTGGAGGCAGGGGGAGTTTTGTAGCAAGGAGAAATTGATCCCAAGCTTGAAAGGGGCTTTGCCTCTTGATGGGGCTGCCCTTGAAACACCCAGACTTGTCAGAAAATGGTCTTTGAAAATTAAGCTGAGTCCAAACACTTCAGACTGGAGATTCAAGAAAATAAAATAATAAAATAAAATAAAATAAAATAAAATAAAATAAAATAAAATAAAATAAAATAAGGAAACAAGCTGCCATTATGAAAAAGACAGTTTTCTCTAGGAAGTTGGATCTACCTAGGAAGGCTGTCATCTGGGTCTGGGTTCTGTGTGCTTGGTGCATGTACCAAATTCCTATTGGGTTCAAATCAGTTTATACTTACAAGTTACGAGTAGTACTTTCTGTTTAGTTGCAAACAAACACAACGGGAGCTCAAATTCTGTTAGGTAAATGTTCACGGTAGAAGCTCTGCCTGTCCTTCTGCTAATGTCAGATTTTGTCTGAGCGTTGCCCACTGCGAGACGCAGTGTGGGGATGTTAAACGGGAACTCGAATCTCGTTCCGTGCCGCGCTTTGCCGTTTGCAAGCGCGTTGCGAGCGTCCCGCGAGCGCGCTGCGCTCTGCCTGGCGCTGCTCGGGCCCGCACTGCCGCCCTGCGGAGAGCCCGGCAAGCGCGGAGGGAGCGCGGAGCGAATTCCCAAGGCTGGAGCGCTCCGAGTGCCCAGAGCCAGGCAATTCCCTGCAATCCTGAGCGGAGAGTCGTGAACTACCTCCCGGTCTCTGTCTCCCTCTAGCACGAGGGAGCCAGGTTCATCTTCGGTTCATCCCTATGTTTCCCAAGAACCACGAGCTCGGTCTGCATGTCCCACGTGCCCTCACAGGCCCTCTTCTCGTGTCTTGCACTTACACCATGCGTTGACTTTCATGACCCATCACAACTCCTTCCTTCAGTCAACTTTATCCACACACCATAGACATATTCTGCTTGGTTTCATAACTCCTTTTGCTCATCGGGTGTTAAGTGAAGCTAAGTCCAGCTTGTAGATCCATTTTCAGGAAGTAGTGGCGTAGTGGCTGTAGTGAATGAATCTCAATGTTAACAAAAAAAAAAAAAAAAAAAAAAAACTAGTCATCCTTTTTTCTCTTCCAAGCAGGCCATGGGTTTCACCAGGCAAAACTCATGGTCAAGCCATATCTCTGGTTAGATCATTTTTTCAGATATTGTCAGATATTGGGAAAGGGAAAGGGAAAGGAAAAAGGAAAAGGGGGTAAATAAGTTAAGGGGACTCTGTTTCACACCACTAATGTATTCAGAAAGATGCCTTACAAGGAGAAATAACTTCTTTGAGCGCCCTGTTTGCCTGGAGCTTGTCCACAGCAGGGATGCTCTCACTGGTAGGAAAATATCAGATTGTGGACCTAGTTTCATCATCTGAGTCCCTCCCCTTGGAAAATCACAAGTTTCACCATTCCTAAACTACCCAAATACAAAATTAGGGAACATTCGGCTGCCACATCTCAAATGTATCCCAGTCCAGTTCCATATCTTCTACATTGTAGGGAGATGATAAAATTAACCACTTGCCTAAGGTGCTTGCTGCAAATTACCATTAAGTGAAATATGCAAGTGAAATATGATTTTACGTGAAGAAAAGGATCTTTTGCTGATTCTGTCATCCTCTTGTAGGCACAAGCAGAGCAGACTTGGGGCACAGAGCTCCAGTTCAGAAGGAGGTCAGAGCCTCTCAGTATCCCTGGTGTGCTCCATCACCCCATCAGTGAGCCCCAAACCTGCCTTGTGCTCTCTTGTGCCTTTAGCATTAGTCCAGAGCTGCACTGCCAGCGTCAAAGCCTGCCAAAGGAAATGGGAAAGACTTGGGTGGCTGGAGGCAGGGGACTTGATCCTGCCATTGGGATTTCTGCTGGAGAAAGCAGCAAGCCCAGGTCAACCAGGCCTCCCTACCTAGAGCACCCACGAG